TGGAGGTACGATGGAGTAATGCACTTTTTCGTTAAATAGCAGGATATACTAGGTTCTATAACCTTGGGTGACAACCGGTCTAGGAGAAGAAAAAACTTTGAATTGAGAGCGTTGGGCTCGTCCAGGCTATATTGACCAAGAAACACCACTTCTACTACAAAGGCTGCAGTAGACATGGTTCCCCTACGTATCTACGCGTCACGGGATAAAAAAATATTATTTGATTTTTTATCGCTGAAACATTTCCATTAAAGAAGTCTGCCAGTTATTAAAATATGATATAGATTTCATCATTTCATCCCAAACAAGGCGATGAAGCCAACAAGTCGCAATGCTGGGTGTTACTGAGAGCGAAGAAAAAAATGAAAATAATTAGTAAACAAATTTGTGAGACTATGTTAAATATTTAGAACAAAGAAAACCTACTTCCTGATTACTTTCAGTTAAACTGAAAGATATATATATATATATATATATATAGTAATTCATATAGTATAAATATATATATATATATATATATATTATATATACTATCCTATATATATAGTAATATATATAGTATAGTATATATATATAGTAATTCATCGAGCCCAGAATAATCTTCAACAGACATATATATATATATATATATATATATATATATATATATATATATATATATAAAAATAAATTAATTAATTAAATTAAAAAAGAGACAACGTTAAGTAATTAATTAATTAAGTTTTTACTATAAAAACCTTATTTCATATAAAATGTATTGTAGGTAATTTTCCCCAGAAAATAAATTATTCCTGGTTCATCAGCTCACATCACTAGTTCCAAAGGAATTTGGTTTACAATTTAAATGTTTCTAATTTATTTTTAATACAGGTTTTTGAGGAATAGTTTTAGTTTGATGCAAGGTGACAGAGAGAGTGGTAGGGGGAAGGCCATAGAATGATCTAAATTAGAAATGGAAGGTTGGGATAGGGTTTGTTTAAATCCATCTTTATTAATTAACGTAGGTTGAACTGTATATATATATATATATATATATATATATATATATATATATATATATATATTATTGTAATGTTTTCTTTGCTCAAAAGAGCCTAGAATCAAAAGATACAAGATCACATAATTGTATGTGCCATACATGTATCACGTATAGCACATAACTGACTGATTGGTCATTTAACTATAAAAAAAAAGTATTTATTACAAAATGTGTTGTTGGTAATTCTATTAAAATGTATTCTTCGTCATTTAGTTGTAAAACGTATTGCTGGTAATTTTGCTATAACAATGTACTGTTGGCCATTTTATTATAAACGTATTGGAAGTAATGTTCCTATAAAAATACATTGAAGGCCATTTTATTATAAAAATATATTGTTGGTAGTTTTACTATAAATATGTATGTCTATAATGTTTAGAGTCGTAATTATTGTCATTTTACTTTAAAAATGTATTATTAGTCATTTTATTATAAAACGTACTAGACTACCCGTGACCTGTTAGGTCACTAACAGTTCAGGTTTTAAAATATTTAAGTTGAACATTAAAATATGTTCTGTTTGATGTTGAAATAAAAAAATACTTACTGTATAATTAACTCGTATTTTTGAATCTTATTCACTTAAAATATTTTTTAAATCACATTAACATAAAAATATATTTTATTATGCCAAAGCATATTTTAAAATCATATTCACTTGAAAATATGGCAAAAAATATTTTTAAATATTTAAAATATCGTTTGTTTAAAGAAAGTTGAAATATAAATAAGCACGCATGAAATCTCAGAGAGGTGGAAAGAGAGAGGTGGAAAGGGAAAGTTGGAAAGAAAGAGAGGTGGAAAGAGAGACGTGGAAAGAGAAAGAGGTGAAAAAGAGTAAGGTGAAAAGAGCGAATGGTGGAATGAGAGAGGTGGAAAGAGAAAGAGGTAGAAAGAGATAGAGGTGAAAACAGAGTGAGGTTGGAAGAGCGAATGGTGGAAAGAGAGACGTGGAAAGAGAGAGAGAGAGAGAGAGGTGGAAAGAGAAATAGGTGGAAAGAGAGAAGTGAAAAGAGGGAGAGGTGGAAAGAGAGGGATGTGAAAAGTAACCATTTATGTCTACAATCTAGATGTTAAATTAAGTCACCATCTGAGTCGAAAACACACACTTTACATCTTTTTTTCAACCACTCTCTATATATGAATTCTGGCTAACACGCAAGTATACAAAGTTCACAGAGTTTTAAAATAATAAAGATTCATAGTCATTTTATTATAATACGTTTTGTTGGCATTGCTGATCATTTTACTATAAAATTATATATTTATACTTACATAGCGTTTTGATTCTTGTTTAAGGGTTCACTATTTGCTGATATCTAGGCGCGTAACAGATGCTAACACTGGTCTCAGGGTGAACAACAACAATTAAGTGGTGGTTCCACGCTCCTCAAAACCACCAATCTCCCAAACATGGGTCCCTTTATCCTCATGCCCAGGACTAGAGAGTTGCTCTGCTTGAAATTAGGATCTTTTGACGTCTCCCTACATTCTCCTAGTTTACTGATGCGATTTCATAGCAAATCCTTCCATAAAGCCACAGGCTATTAATATTAATCAATACATTTCTTACAAAATATATATTTTGTCGGTGTTCGACTGCCAAAGAGAGTCTATCGGAAATAGTCGCCCGATCTATTTAAAGTTGTAGTGTGCAATTAACAGATGTTTTGTGACGCCAACAAACATTTGTTGCCACTTTTGTAATGCCAACGAATAATTGTTGTCACTTTCGTAATGCTCGTTGTAATAAAGACTTTTTAATCGCAGATAAAACTATCGTAGCGCCGTTGAACAATGCTGGTGTCGCACTAATAGTACTTGCTCGATAATACTCATTCGAATAATAATCTGTATAATGATCCGAATAGAGAAATAGTTTAGGGAATAGAGTAGAGAAAAGCGGTCCGTATAGTAATGGAGGATAGACTAGAAATACGGTCAAAATTAGATGTCAAGCGACTTCCTACTTATGCGTTTCTCCCATGGTCACGTGATCCACTTAATTCAATACTGGGATCGCCCGTGTTTGTTCTCGGCGATCTATGTTCAAACTAGTTTCGGCCGAAACACTTTATTCTCATATAACAGTTTACACACTTAGAATGTATGTTTTCAGAACTAAATCTTGGGAAAAACGTACCAAACGAATAGATTTATAGAGAGTCTCTTGTAAAATATTTCGGATATTTTTAAACCTGAATAAGAAAAGATCATATTTATTTGTTTTACATTTTTTATATTTTCCTTTTTGTGATGTCAAAACGACTAACAGCTTTAATATAATTTTTTGATGCCAACGAATACTCGTTGGCACTTTCGTAATACTCGTTGTAGTAGAGACTTTGTAATCGCAGACGCCTTCGAATATCACTCGCACTAATAGTATTTGCTCGATAATAGTAGCTGGAACAGTAATCTGTATAGTGATCTGAATACAGAAATAGTATAGTGAATAGAGTAGAGAATAGCGCTCCGTATATTAATAGAGGATAGACTAGAAATGCTGATCTGTATAGTAAGAAATACCGATCCTTCATCGTCAGCTATTTCCTACATATATTCATTTCCTCAATGGCCACGTGATCTACTTAATTCAATTATGAGAGCGCCTATGTTTGCTCACTAAGCGATCTATGTTCAAACTCAAATGTATATAACAAGGTGACACTTCGAAATTGTTTCAATGTATATAAGTTTATTGCTGCAGATATTGTCAAGATAATTCTTAATTATAAGAACTTTGGAAATAATAAGACTGAATCTCAAGAGTATAAGTTATATAATATACATATTTATTTTAGAGTGGGAAGTGAGTAATTTGATATTCGGTGTAATAAAAGGTTCGTTTATAAGGCGGATGTTGGTAGTCGTTTCGAGAAATTCCGTTTCAGAAAGGCAATCGAGAGGTTTGGGAATCGGCACTTGATAATGGTCATAGTCAAATTTAGTAATAGGTCAGTGTCAGTCTACCGTGTATTTCTCAGCTCTAAGATGAGCTCTGAACTACTTCACGCGTCACACTTAGCTGATTTCTCCGATGTTCGCGCCACTTGTCTTCACTCTCATCGTCCTTTCTTCTCGACTAGATTAGAACTGTGAGCTTATATCCTTTCTGGATATAGACTCTGGCATGAATCTTGATTTCGGCTAACATCAAAAGGCTCTTTGTGTTAATTTCTTTGATTGAGCCAAATTAATTTATTTTCCAGCGTTCCTTTCTTTTATACTTTTTTTTAATAACGGAAGTCATGCGTGGAGCCTATGTCATATTTGTTAGTTTCAGTTTTTATCTCCATGGCCCAGCAGATAAAAGCGTTGTTTGAAGTAATCCAGTGACTTTACCAAAAGAGAGGTCAGTTCATTAGCTGAACACAGCAAAGGCCAACAAGAATTTGGAGAGCTGACTAAACCAAAGGGAGATAACTGAAACTGATATAGCCAGAAAAGGCATGGCACGTGAAACAAGAAAATCTACCCCGGTGTACGAAATAAAAGGTTCATTTCGGAATTCCAATCTTCTGAAGAAGGCCGTGCGTACACCAGCGGAAACTTCGTAAATATAACAACGAAGATGAGGATAACAGTTTCAACAACGTAAATAATTAAAATATCTCATCTCAGAAATATTGACAAATATTAATATATATATATATATATTTTTACTATTTTTCAAGTAGTAAAAAGCTTTGGACACCAGATTAAGACTTACTGAAGAGATTTTTAAAAACACTCAAAACTATATTTTACAATTTATTTGTTAGAGTATTTTTCTCGTTTTTCGTGTTGCGAATAATAAAAAAAATGTTTTGAAATTTCTTAAAAGCATTAACTGCAGATGTTAGGAAACGCAACAGGATATTTGTCGAGATAAATTACCAGCTAATTTAAAATACATTAGCCAAATAATTTCGACGGATGTAAGCCAGTCTTGTCTTTGAAAAACGTGAATGCAAAGAGGATGGAAACGTTCAAATTTTGCTGCTTTGACAACCCAACACCAAAACCAACACGCCAAAAATCGACAGACATTTTGTTAAATCTCTACTGTCGTTTGAAATAAATACAACATTGGTACTTCTTAATTCCAGTCACACTTGAAGACAAGATTGGCAATTTAAAATGCAAAAACAAATAAAAATAAAGTAAAATATAAAAAACCAACAAGAAATATATTAGCAATAAATTAGTAGACAAACACTTTTAAAAATTCTAAAGGAAATTTATGTCGTGGGTTCAAAATCGGCGCTGGAAATCGACTTGTTTTTAAAGCTGTGAAATGCGGAACACGTTAAATTGCCTCGATGAAATGACTTAGCACATAAGTCTTGTGCTTTGAACTAACTGATAGACTCGTTAAGATTTCAAGTGAGTCAACAGGCACTTAGCGGTCAGTTGAAAAGGGAAAAGAATGTAGGAAAGAGAAGTAAAGTAGGCAAAAGAAAAACTCATTTTGAAAACCAAAAGGAGTAAAAGACTTTTCTTCCAATTATCAAGAACTAAAGAAAAACCAGAAGTAAAAGAGAAATTCAGACTGTTCGGATCTGTCTTAACTTTTGGGTAAGTCAGGTCATTTATATCTATCTATCTATCTATCTATCTATCTCTCTGTCTCTCTCCCTCTCTCTCTCTCTCTATATATATATATATATATATATATATATCTTTATAACTATGAGCCTACCTAGGTTTCACCTACGCGGTTCGTTACGTTACTGAGCACTTTACAAAATTATCTATTATAAAACGAGGTAGGATTGCCTGCCTTCTTAGGTTCATAGTTAGATTTGCTCTACTTAGTATATTGAGGCACTTAGTTACTTTTGCTTTACTCGTTTTAGAGTTGTTATTTTTTTTTTTTTTTTTTGACTCTGAGCTTGAATTCTGGACGATTGTTTTCGCCCCAAATACGTGTTCTTTCTTTTTTGTCCTTTATTTTTCCTTCGGTATTAGTTTGTTCATTTACAAGCCAAAACGCATAAGGTTTTTCCAGACGAGTATAATTACTTATATATATATATATATATATATATATATATATATATATATATATATATATATGTGTGTGTGTGTGTGTGTGTGTGTGTATAAATACATATCGACCACTCACATTCTGTTCATATCTATCTATCTATTTATCTATCTATATATATATATATATATATATATATATATATATATATATATCTTTCATTCTCTTCACTATATATATATATATATATATATATATATATATATATATATATATATATATATCAATCTATCGATGTTTCAGACTGTCTGCATCTATTTATTTATCTATTTATCAATCTTTCAATCTCTCTTCACGTCTATCTATCTATCACTTCAAATCTGTTAATCTTTCAATCACTTCAAATATCGATATCTATCTGCTTAAGTTCATATCTATCTATCTATCTATCTATCTATCATTAAGGCTTCTTAAATCTATCTATCTATATATCAGTCTTTTCAACTTTCTCTCTCTCTCTCTCTCTCTCTCTCTATCTATCTATCTATCTATCTTTCCGTCTCTTCAAATCTATCTATCTCTGAGCCTGTTCTATTTTCAGATTAAACATCCTTCTGTCTGTTTTTTCTATCTATTTATCTATCTATCTATCTATCTATCTATCTATTCCTTCCTTCGTATCTATCTATCTATCTATCTATCTATCTGTCTATGTCAATTACCATTCTCATATTACAATTTATTTCTTTTTTTAATATCTATCTATCTATCTATCTATCTATCTATCTATCTATCTATCAGTTCCTTCCTCTCTTCCTTTGTTACTATGCATCAATCTCTCTTTCAATTTTGTTCTTCTTTTGTTATCTATCTATCTATCTATCTATCAGTCTGTCCAGGTCGATCTCTCTGTCAGGCTCTCCATATCTGTCTGTAATATACAAATACATATTATACGTTTGAAATAAAAATGTACCTTTCTTGTGTTTTGAAAAATGATAAGTCAAAAAATGATTAGTCTACATAAGCGTGAATGTGGGTGTGTGGGTGTGCTCACGCGGGGGTGGTTGCGTGTGTGTGCAGCATACAGAAAATTGTTGCTGTGAGATATTTTAAATATTCAGATAGATATCTTTCTTCTATTTCACCCACTTTCTATCTTCAGTTAATTCACGATATTTGTTTAGGGGACGGGAATATTTTGGATAAAGGATTTCCTATTTCGTGACGGAGAGCAGGTGGCAAAACACAATTTACATGCGCAGAAAAATGCCTACAAGATACATACGCATCTATTCGCTTTTTTTTTAATGTCACGTCCCTTTACGCATGCGTAGAGAAGCAGCTTACACGTGTTACCGTTACGCATGCGCACTCTCGCCAATCGCCACCGTCACGCGTTCTCTGATACTTAAGACATCTCAATAGTCGCAATGTACAAAATCTAAAAGAACAAGAACTACTATTTTATGTATTTTCTTTTCTTTTTCTTTATCAACGTCTTGCTAAAGATGTCAGTTAAATTATTTTATTTGAAAGTATCATGGCTGATAACTCCCTGATGTTAATAGCACTTACGCAATTCTATTATTCTATTATTATTATTGTTGTTGTTGTTGTTGTTGTTGTTGTTGTTATTATTATTATTATTACTTTTATTACCTTTAATTTCTTTACACATCTATTCCGGGTCTCGCCCAGGGACCTACGGTTAGAAATGGCATCATGACACTTTCCACTGACAAAAAAATAAAAATAAAAATTACATAGATAAAACCCTTCGTAAAGGGTGGGCTGTACTTGTCAGAACAATTTTTCATATCTCTTTGAGGCATGGACTTCCAGGAATTCCTTCAATTAGTCTACTGGAATCTTTTCCAAGCAATCCTAGGGCTCCAACTACAACAGGGATTGTTGATGTTCCCATGTGCCACAATTTTGAGATTTCTATTTCAAGGTCCTTGTATTTTGACAGCTTTTTGAATATCTTCAAAGATACATTGCAGTCTGCAGGGACTGCCATATCAATAAAGAGGCACTTTTTTTTGTTTGTGGTCTTTAATAACAATGTCTGGACGGTTGGCCTTGATTGTTCTGTCAGTGTGTATTGTGTAGTCCCATAGAATTGTAACAGGCCCTATCTCCGTAACCGGTTCTGGGTGGTGTTCATACCAGTTTCTTTCAGTTTTCTTCCCGTAGAAGTTGCAAAATTTCCAGTGCAGATATTGGCCGACTCTGTTATGCCGGGTTTTATATTCAGTGGGTGCCAATATCGTGCAACCTGATGCAAGATGATCAATCGTTTCTCGATATTTATCACAGAATTTTGGGCTAACACAATATTTTTAGTGTATGTGCTTGATCATTCCTAGTTAACAAGCATATTATTATTATTATTATTATTATTATTATTATTCGTATCTTACTGTCATATCAAGAAAACGACTGCGAAATATTAAACTGTATGTTTTCTTATAGCATTATCAAGTCGATACGTCTGATATGTGATGTGTTGATGTAAATCGTTCAAAAGATGTAACGGATATATATTGATATATATATTAATATATATATATTAATTAATCCGACAGACATTTAACCCTATAAACATCATTCTTAACGGATACCCATAGTTGAGTAGAGTAGTTTTAAATAGTATTTGTTTTCGATTACTAGCCTGGATATTCAAGAATTCTTATTAAAAAAATCTCCTGCCGTAGGGCGAATTTTTTCTTCAGTAAGATTCCTTGAATACTCAGGCAGGTAGACTAAGTCAAATAGAATTCTTAAAAAAGAAATAAACGTATCTTCTACTCAAATACGGGCAGTTACTAAAAATGATGCTTAAACTAACAAAATGGTGTCGGGATCTGCATTGCCCAGGTTTTTGTGCTATCTGAATGTCAAGATTCCAAATATTCAACAATAACAATATATCTTTTTAATGAATGATAAATAAAATTTTATTATCTGAAGGAAAAGTAGAAGCAAAACACCAGTTGAAATAACATTCATATATTCTTTTAAATATACAATAACAATTAATTATTCAATTTTCCTAGCAGTGCTGTTTTTTATCAAGTAATTAAGTAATCTTAGCGCCTTGTGAGATGTGTGGACAATCTTACATTATGACGGCAAATCTAATTTGTTTCTTAGTTCATAGACAAGTGCTTACTCGGCTGCTGCTGACTGTCATCTTCTATTGTGTGCTTGTATGTAGGTGCGCATGTGTATACGCACGAGTAGATCAAGCTGGGCTCGGAAATTGTGTTGAATCCCGAGAAGCAGTATGCTTCTATTTTTATATCTGCAAAGGAAGATCCAAAATCTAATTTCACACAGAGGTATGAAATTTTTTGATATATAGTATTTAATTTCTATAAAGTAAAGGCTTGAAAGGCGTTACACTGAACTTTTATTAATGAATGCCTCTGAATCGTGTGTTTAGAAGCTAGCAAATCTATCCTTATATATAATACATTTATTCTATATTTACCTATCTATAAAATGCATCAGAGAATTAGAGAAAGATAAACAGGGAGAGAGAAAAATATAGTGGGAGAGACGGATAGAAGAATTAGAGAGCCGAGTTAGAATTCCAGTCGAATCCATTACATTCACTTACGTAGTAACACTCTTGGGAAAGGAATAAATCCTCTTCTTCTCCCCCCCCAGCTATGGGTAAATAGCAGAACAGACAGGGTTCTATAGCCTTGGATAACAACTGGTCTACTGCTGGGAAAAAAATTTGCCTCGTCAGTCATGTATCGAAAGATACATGATCGCCTAAAAGTGTATCCCGCATGACATAACTGACTGACAATATTCAATGTACTGGTATTATACGGAGATAGGATGCTTGTCATTAATGACACAAGTCCTCTAACTCAAAGATCAGGATAAATGTTTGTCTTTTAAAATATATATATATAAACAGCTTTTATTTAATCATGAGAGAGAACTTTTTTTGTGCACTACCAGTTGATTTTAAACTCCAGGAAAACAACACCTTACGCTTTTTGGGTATTGTGTGATTATATTAAATTAACTGCTCTGTCTACTGCTAAGAAAGTTGGTTCATTGTGTTAAGCCAGACAATCTTTCTCGTCAGTATCGATCTTCCACATTTATAAATTTGCCATTCGTCCAAGCATTAAATATGGTACCCGTATATGGTTTAATGCTCCTACTATGAAAGATCTCGATATTCTGGAGAAAATTCAAAGAAGAATCTGTAATGAAACCAATCCTGACAAGGCATCTTGATTTCAGTCATTTTCGCACTGACTTGACGTGGCTTCCCTCTGTCTTTTCTACAGCTATTTCAATGGCAGTTGTTCTGTTTACATTTTCTCTTTGGTGCCTCAACTGTATAAATGTAAACGTAATATTAGATTGGAAACCGTTTTATTGTTGAACTAGTTAGATGCAACCGGCTCTTCTATTTTATATTTTTTCTCGCACATCTCGCCTGGAGATATCCCTTCGTGTATATTGCTTCCCAGCCAACTACAATCGTTAAAGGTGTAAATACAACGTCAGTCACAATCTTCTGTCTTCCTGAAGACTGTTCTTTCATTGTCTTTTACCTTACTTCTTCTCACTAAAGTCTTCTCATTCTATTTCACTCACTGTAACCCCTCCCCGCATCTTAGTGGCATCACCGCCTTGCTTGGGGGGGAATAAAAATGTAATATATATATATATATATGTATATATTTCTGAGATGATGCAATTATTTCTGCTATTTACATCGTTCGAGACATATTGAAGAGGCATGGTACGTGGAACCAGAACAGCCTACCGCGGTGACGAAATAAAGTGTTCAGTTCTAAAATCCAAACACCTGGAGAAGGCCGGAGCGTACGATGGCCGAAACGTTGTAAATGTGGCAAAAAAAGATGAGGACAACAGCCCGTAAAATGTAGATAGTGTAAATAAAAATATATCTTGGAAAATTATCAATGACAAATGTCAAGCCTCATGGAAATACCGGGGTGGCTGAGAGAGAAATTACTGAATGAAAACTACAATAAACGGGTCTCCCCTAATTATCATCCTTACTCAGTCATTACAACCAAAATCAGTTTAATGTAAATTATTAAACCACGTAGCTTTGGGACAAGGATTGGCAAAGAAACGGAGAGTTAAAAATGACACATAGATCACCTGCCACCTGAAGAGACAGGAATATGTCTTCCAGTCATGTAAAAGAATATTTTCGTATGTTTAGCCGATAGGTCGACGGTTGAATTTATAATTCAATATATTCCTCTAGGGAATATATACTTGCTTTTAATGAATAAATCTCAAATCGATTATCATATTTGATTGATGGATTTCTCTGTTTAACGGATTATTAACTCCACATAGGCCATTAAAAATGGCGGACAATTTTTATATTCCTTAATTCCTAAAAAGCGGGAAAATGTTAAGATGCTGGAAAAATTTACTAAAATGTCCATTCAGTTTTCCTTGTTGGCTGTACTCAATGAATGGTATTTCAAAGAAAGGTTGCTGTCAATCAACACTCACTCACACACACACACACACATACACACACACACACATATATATATATATATATATATATATATATATATATATATATATATATGGTTTTAAGCTGTTCTATATTTATGGAATACAGCACTCAATATCAGAGATAGACGTATGTAAATATAAATATAAAAGTGAACATTGAAGTCAACACTCAGAGGCGACAGGCTGTTCCATGCTAGGCGCAATCGTCAGGCGGACTGTCGCCTATGAATGTTGACTTCAATGTTCACTTATATATATATATATATATATATATATATATATATATATATCTATGAGTGTATATATATATATATATATATATGTATATAAATAAAAAAAAAGAACAGTAAGATATAAAATCCGGTGTTCTTATAGATATTTTATTTTTAC